TCACATTGTTATTCCGAGTCACACTGTCACTGAAAGTCACGCTATCATTCAGAGTCACACTGTCATTCAGTCATGCAGAGGCTGCCCCGTGGCCTGGTGACAAAAGCTCTCGCTTCACATGTTGAGGCGTCCGGGTTCGATTCCAGGCGAAGGTAGAAACATCGGGCGTGTTTCTTTACACTGAACACTGAACCTCATCTTCACTAACAATGATGATCTGATACGAAATGTCACTATTCCAAAAACAATATACTCAGATAACAACATAATCGAGGTTTAGATATGTATGCGCGTAGCCCCAGACCGACAAAATGTGATAAGTCACGAGGGAGCCTTCACCAAATTCAACTTCAGTAACCAAGTCTTAAATGATATAAGCTGGGAAGATAGCCTAAGCAACACAGACCCCAATCTATTCTTAAAACAGATTAACTCGATGTATGCTCAAGGCTTATTCAAGTCCCAATATGACTCAGTTTTTAGCGAGTCGCTAACCAATTTGACATTATCCTGATGCCAAATGACTTCGAACAAGCGATAAATGACATGCCCATGCACTCTGCCCCAGGCCCAGACTCATGGAACTCTGTGTTCAAGAACTGCAAGAAGCCCCTATCACGTGCTTTTAACATCTTGTGGAGAGGGAGCATGGACACTTCGGTCGTCCCACAGTTACTAAAAACAACAGACATAGAAAAAGGAGGAGTAGATGTGAAATACAAAGAGAAAGGCGCTCCCTTTACAGGCTAAGGCAAAGAATAACAGAGCGGCTAACAGAGGCCAATATATCTGCAATGCGTAGGGAGACACTGGTCAGAAAAATACCTAACACTGAACTAAAGCTTAAGGAATCCTACAGGGGACAATAATCACAGGAAGAACTAAAAGCCATAATTTAAATTGAAAGAAACCCAAAGTATTTCTTCTCTTATGCCAAATCAAAGTCGAGAACAACATCCAGTATTGGACCCCTACTTAAACAAGATGGGTCCTACACAGATGATAGCAAGGAAATGAGTGAGCTACTCAAGTCCCAATATGACTCAGTTTTTAGCGAGTCGCTAACGAATTTGACATTATCCTGATGCCAAATGACTTCGAACAAGCGATAAATGACATGCCCATGCACTCTGCCCCAGGCCCAGACTCATGGAACTCTGCGTTCAAGAACTGCAAGAAGCCCCTATCACGTGCTTTTAACATCTTGTGGAGAGGAAGCATGGACACTTCGGTCGTCCCACAGTTACTAAAAACAACAGACATAGCCCCACTCTACGAAGGGGAGCAGTAAAGCAATAGCAAGGACTACAGACCGATAGTGCTAACATCCCATATCATAAAAATCTTTGAAAGGGTCCTAAGAAGCAAGATCACCACCCATCTATATACCCATCAGTTACACAACCGAGGGCAGCATGGGTTTAGAGCAGGTAGCTCCTGTCTGTCCCAACTACTGGACCACTACGACAAGATCCTGGATGCTCTAGAAGACAAACAGAATGCAGATATAATATACTTAGACTTTGCAGGAGCCTTCGACAAGTGTGACCATTATGTGATAGCTCATAAAATGCGTGATAAAGGAATAACAGAAAAAGTTGGTAGATGGATCTATAATTTCTTGACAAATAGAATACAAAGAGTAGTAGTCAACGGAGTAAAGTCTGAGGCGGCTACGGTGAAAAGCTCTGTTCCACAAGGCAAAGTACTCGCTCCCATCTTGTTCCTCATCCTCATATCGGACATAGACAAGGATATAAGCCACAGTGCCGTGTCTTCCTTTACAGATGACACCCGAATCTGCATAACAGTGTCTTCCATTGCAGACACTGCAAGGCTCCAGGCGGACATCAACCAAAACTTTAAATGGGCTGCAGAAACCATTATGAAGTTCAATGATGAGAAATTTCAATTACTCCGAAATGGTAAACGTGAGGAAATTAAAATTTCATCGGAGTATAAAACAAATCCCAACCACACAATAGAGCGAAAAACTAACGTCAAAGACCTGGGAGTGATCATGTTGGAAGATCTCACTTTCAAGGACCATAACATTGTATCAATCGCATCTGCTAGAAAAATGACATGATGGATAATGAAAACCTTCAAAACCAGGGATGTCAAGCCCATGATGACACTCTTCAGGTCGCCTGTTCTATCTAGGCTGGAATATTGCTGCACACTAACAGCACTTTTCAAGGTAGGTGAAATTGCCTACCTAGAAAATGTACAGAGAACCTTCATGGCGCGCATACCTGAGACAAAACATCTCAATTACTGGGAACGCTTGAAGTTCCTAAACCTGTACTCCCTAGAACGCAGGCGGGAGAAATGCATGATTATATACACTTGGAAAATCTTAGAGGGATTAGTACGAAACTTGCACACGAAAATCACTCCCTACAAAAGCAAAAGACTCGGCAGACAATGCAATATACCCAATGAAAAGCAGGGGTGTCACTAGCACGTTAGGAGACAATACAGTAAGTGTCAGGGGCCCAAGACTGTTCAACTGCCTCCCAGCATACATAAGGGGGATTATCAGTAGACCCCTGGCTGTCTGCAAGCAGGCACTGGACAAGCACCTAAAGTCAGTACATGACCAGTCGGGCTGTGGTTCATGCGTTGGATTGCGTCCGGCCAGCAGTAACAGCCTTGTTGATCACGCCCTGATCCACCATGAGGCCTGGTCACAGACCGGGCCGCGAGGGCGTTGAGCCCCGGAACTCTCTCCAGGTAAACTCCACGTAAACTGGTTGTCTATGTTCACCCATCAGTAAAATGGGTACCTGGGTGTTAGTTGACTTGTGTGGGTCGCATCCTGGGACAAAATTCGCCTAATTTGCCCGAAATGCTCTGTATAACAAGCTGCTTTCTGTATAGTAGTATGTCATTGATGTCAGCTAGGACTGTATACTTTGTACATTTACTTGTAATAAATGAAGATATTATTAATATTATTATTATTATTATTATTATTATTATTATTACTATTATTATTATTATTATTATTATTATTATTATTATTATTATTATTATTATTATTATTATTATTATTATTACTATTATTATTATTATTATTATTATTATTATTATTATTATTATTATTATTATTATTATTATTATTATTATCATTACTATTATTATTATTATTATTATTATTATTATTATTATTATTATTATTATTATTATTATTATTATTATTATACAGTTACATTGTCACTCACAAAGTTATCCACACCATTACTCAGACAGTTATCAGCCTTGTCTCTCATACTGTTACTCACATCATTATTACTCACCACAGTTCTTGAGCTATCATTAAGTCACTCACAATGCCACTCACCGCCAGTTTTAATGTTACTCACAATCATTCAGATTTAAACAGTAACTGACACTGTCCTTCAGTCACTCACACTGTCACTCGCCATTTTTATTCACTGTAACTCACACATTAACCACTGTTACCTCTGCTTTTCATTACTGACAATATATGCAAGCCACATTGTCTGATTTGTTTAGATTTATCCCAGGTTCTCTACACATATGCTGCTATGTATGATAATCTATATAACTGTATTTATGTATACCTGAATAAACTTACTTTCTCATTGCAGTCACCCACTCATTCACTCGCACATTTACTCACCACTGTCATTCTCACTGTCACTCACGCTGTCACTCACTACAGTGGTCGTGAAAACGTATGGATTCTCAGCACTGAGAGACTGCCTTTCACTCTCCTCATTTTCCTTATCATTTTCTCACTCCTTTCTTCCAGATCAACTTTTCTTCCTTCCACCTTAAACCTTCGTCTTTTGTCTTCTACAATGTTTATATAACATTAGCGCTCCGTCATCTTCTTATAATATTTTGTCTTGAACATTAAAATGGTATAAAATACCGACAGGTTGTTAGGTAAGACACATACGCAACAGTTAGGTATCTTTATTTGTTTCAGACTTCGGAACAATGCTCTTCTCCAGACTGAAGGACTGACCACCTCAAATCTTTAAGGGTGATGGACTGATTACATCGTCTTCACATCTCTACTGTTCCTGCCTACTTTCTGTATTCGACTGAAGAAGCCTACTGTGTAGGCGAAACGTTTCGGAATAAAGTTGTCTAACTGTTGCATATGTGTCTTACCTAACAACCTGTCGGTATTGTATACCATTTTGATGTTCAACTTTTCTGTACTCGACTGAAGAAGCCTACTGTGTAGGCGAAACGTTTCAAAATAAAGATACCTAACTGTTGCATATGTGTCTTACCTAACAATATTTTGTCTTACTGGCAGCTAGCAGCCGTTGTTTACCTTAAATGGTAACAAAACAATACTTTAAATTTTGCAAAAAATATTTACGGCGTCGTTTCAACCATGAATATGTAGAGATTTAGACACAGCTGGTGTCTGAACAGACAGCTGGTGTCTGAACAGACAGCTGGTGTCTGAACAGACAGCTGGTGTCTGAACAGAGAGCTGGTGCCTGAACAGAGTGCTGGTTCCTGAACAGACAGCTGGTGCCTGAACAGACAGCTGGTGCCTGAACAGACAGCTGGTGCCTGAACAGACAGCTGGTGCCTGAACAGACAGCTGGTGCCTGAACAGACAGCTGGTGCCTGAACAGACAGCTGGTGCCTGAACAGACAGCTGGTGCCTGAACAGACAACTGGTGCCTGAACAGACAGCTGGTGCCTGAACAGACAGCTGGTGCCTGAACAGACAGCTGGTGCCTGAACAGACAGCTGGTGCCTGAACAGACAACTGGTGCCTGAACAGACAGCTGGTGCCTGAACAGACAGCTGGTGCCTGAACAGACAGCTGGTGCCTGAACAGACAGCTGGTGCCTGAACAGACAGCTGGTGCCTGGACATCAGAACGCACTTTCATAATTTGTCACATCTCGCCACGTGAACCAAAACCTCAAAAATTTTGATGGATAAATCATTCATTACTTAAAATGAAATAAATGTACTAATATTTTTTTTTTCTACAGGGTTGATGACACAATGAATGAAGATATATCTGTATTCCTGGAAGAAAATAATATGTTTACAGCGGCCAAGAGTGGAAGGCGAGGCAGTCTTGATCGTTACCTAAATAACGGTGGAGACTGCAATGCACAAGACGGCACTGGTCATTCTCCATTACATTATGCTGCATCTAAGGGTCACATTGACTGCTGTGAACGTCTTCTTGAATGTCCCGATTTGAATGTAAACATAGAAAATGTGTCGTATGACACTCCTCTTCACTTTGCAGCAAAAGAGGGACGGAAAGATATATGTAAGATGCTGCTCAAACTTAAAACAATCAAAGTAAATGCAAAAAATGATAAAGGAATGACTCCCTTGCATATTGCTACTCAGGAAAATCATACTGAAGTACTAGTTGTATTGATGGAACACGGTGCATATGTCAGACTGCGGGATAAAGATTGTCATGTACCACTGCATTATGCAGCTAAGAAAGGCTTTCAGGCGTCTTGCCAAGCACTTCTGTCTTATGCTAGTGATGCTGCCGACAGAGAAAAGCAGTTAAATGCAACGCTGAGGAATGGAAAAACACCTCTCATGCTAGCAGCTATGAGAGGTCATCGATTATGCTGTATTGAACTGAAAAGTACAAACATAAATCAGCAAGACAGGGAAGGAAACACTGCTCTGCATTATGCTGTTATTGGAGGGTTTAAATTCACAGTTGAGGTACTTCTTAAAATGGGAGCTGAACGAAATATTCCGAATAAGATGGGAACGACGCCGGTTCTTGCAGCAGCTGGAAAAAGGAAGTCTGTTTGCTTAGACTTCCTTGTGAAGAAATGTTCGACTTTGAATACTGAAGATGAACATAACGGAACGGACCCGGTTGCTGTAAAACAACTGAATAAAGCTTACCCGCATGTTACAGATACAGAGAGTAGAGATAACCTACATGTTACAGATCACCAGGATGAACCTGACCTGCATACCGCATGTCACCAGTGTGGAGATGACCTGCATATTGTTGATCAACATAACGGACCTAATCTATTTGTTGTGGATAATGATAACAGAAATATTCTTCACTATGCAACCAAACAAAACTCGACAGAGTGCGTTAAATACCTGTTTACACATTTTAATTTGACAAAACAATTTGATAAGAGAGATGATGAGGGTTACACCCCACTTCATATTGCGATAATAAGAGAGGCTGTAGAATGTGTCCATATATTACTTATAAATGGCGCATCACCTGCCGTACAGTGCCCGGGGGGAATGACACCTCTTCACCTGGCAGCTGAGAGAGGAAATACACGCATATGTTGCTTACTTCTTGCAAATACTGAAGTGAAAGTAAATGAAGAGAATGACAGAAAGGAAACACCTCTTCACCTTGCAGCTCGTCATGGTTCAGCAGATGTGTGCAGGATACTTGTACGTGAAGGAGCTCGTTTATCAGCAATTAACATACATGGTCAAACAGCACTCCATATTGCAGCAGTAAAAGATTACATCAACGTTGTGAATTTTCTTTGTAAAAAAGAGATACCTCAACGGATTAAAGATGATACCAATGACACTGCTTTGCACCTTGCAGCCTCTTCAGGATCACTGGAATGTTGCAAGGTGTTGGTTGCCAGCGATAAGGGTTCACTTTATGTTAAAGATCACAGGGGAAGACTGCCTCTCAACAGAGCTTTTGAAAACAAGCACGACAATGTATTCACATTTCTCCTAAAGTTTCCCTACCAAAATGACAACGAGGAACTGATAGACTGGTTTCATACCTACATCCAGAAAGCGATGGAGAACAACAGACTGTAAGTAAACTATGAATAAGTCTTAAATGAGATACTAACAAGCTTATATTTATATATGTACGGGGGATATCAGCTCAGCTAGTTATTTATATTTATATTCATGAATATATTATCAGCATCATTCACGTTGATGAAATATGGTGGAGGTTTGTATTTTGCTCTCAGATAAAGACAGTGTTTAAGGATACTTGTCATCTTAATTAAGAATGTAATCTGCACCAAAGTGGGGCTAGTGTGTAGCTAGTATGTGTGTAGCTGCTAGGTGTGTAGTTGGTATGTGCGTAGCTGGTATGTGTGTAGCTGGTATGTGTGTAGTTGGTATGTGTGTAGTTGAGGAGTGTGTAGCTGTTATGTGTGTAGCTGGTATGTGTGTAGCTGTTATGTGTGTAGCTGTTATGTGTGTAGCCGTTATGTATGTAGCTGGTATGTGTGTAGCTGTTATGTGTGTAGCTGTTATGTGTGTAGCTGTAATGTGTGTAGCTGTTATGTGTGTAGCTGTTATGTGTGTAGCTGTTATGCGTGTAGCTGTTATGTGTGTAGCTGGTATGTGTGTAGCTGTTATGTGTGTAGCTGTTATGTGTGTAGCTGTAATGTGTGTAGCTGTTATGTGTGTAGCTGTTACGTGTGTAGCTGTTATGTGTGTAGCTGTTATGTGTGTAGCTGTTATGTGTGTAGCTGTTATGCGTGTAGCTGGTATGTGTGTAGCTGTTATGTGTGTAGCTGGTATGTGTGTAGCTGCTATGTGTGTAGCTGCTATGTGTGTAGCTGGTATGTGTGTAGCTGTTATGTGTGTAGCTGTTATGTGTGTAGCTGTTATGTGTGTAGCTGTTATGTGTGTAGCTGGTATGTGTGTAGCTGGTATGTGTGTAGCTGGTATGTGTGTAGCTGGTATGTGTGTAGCTAGTATGTGTGTAGCTGCTATGTGTGTAGCTGCTATGTGTGTAGCTGCTATGTGTGTAGCTGTTATGTGTGTAGCTGTTATGTGTGTAGCTGTTATGTGTGTAGCTGTTATGTGTGTAGCTGGTATGTGTGTAGCTGGTATGTGTGTAGCTGGTATGTGTGTAGCTGGAATGTGTGTAGCTGTTATGTGTGTAGCTGTTATGTGTGTAGCTGTTATGCGTGTAGCTGTTATGTGTGTAGCTGGTATGTGTGTAGCTGTTATGTGTGTAGCTGTTATGTGTGTAGCTGTTATGTGTGTAGCTGTTATGCGTGTAGCTGTTATGTGTGTAGCTGGTATGTGTGTAGCTGGTATGTGTGTAGCTGCTATGTGTGTAGCTGGTATGTGTGTAGCTGGAATGTGTGTAGCTAGAATGTGTGTAGCTGGTATGTGTGTAGCTGGTATGTGTGTAGCTGGTATGTGTGTAGCTAGTATGTGTGTAGCTGGTATGTGTGTAGCTGGTATGTGTGTAGCTGGTATGTGTGTAGCTAGTATGTGTGTAGCTGGTATGTGTGTAGCTAGTATGTGTGTAGCTAGTATGTGTGTAGCTAGTATGTGTGTAGCTAGTATGTGTGTAGCTGGTATGTGTGTAGCTGGTATGTGTGTAGCTAGTATGTGTGTAGCTGGTATGTGTGTAGCTGGTATGTGTGTAGCTGCTATGTGTGTAGCTGGTATGTGTGTAGCTGGTATGTGTGTAGCTGGTATGTGTGTAGCTAGTATGTGTGTAGCTGGTATGTGTGTAGCTGCTATGTGTGTAGCTGGTATGTGTGTAGCTGGTATATGTGTAACTGCTATGTGTGTAGCTGGTATGTGTGTAGCTGGTATGTGTGTAGCTAGTATGTGTGTAGCTGGTATGTGTGTAGCTGGTATATGTGTAACTGCTATGTGTGTAGCTAGTATGTGTGTAGCTGGTATGTGTGTAGCTAGTATGGGTGTAGCTGCTATGTGTGTAGCTAGTATGTGTGTAGCTGCTATGTGTGTAGCTGGTATGTGTGTAACTGTTATGTGTGTAGCTGTTATGTGTGTAGCTGTTATGTGTGTAGCTGGTATGTGTGCAGCTGCTATGTGTGTAGCTAGTATGTGTGTAGCTGGTATGTGTGTAGCTAGTATGTGTGTAGCTGCTATGTGTGTAGCTAGTATGTGTGTAGCTGCTATGTGTGTAGCTGGTATGTGTGTAGTTGGTATGTGTGTAGCTGGTATGTGTGTAGCTGGTATGTGTGTAGCTGGTATGTGTGTAGCTGGTATGTGTGTAGCTAGTATGTGTGTAGCTGGTATGTGTGTAGCTGGTATGTGTGTAGCTGGTATGTGTGTAGCTGGTATATGTGTAACTGCTATGTGTGTAGCTATTATGTGTGTAGCTGGTATGTGTGTAGCTAGTATGTGTGTAGCTGCTATGTGTGTAGCTAGTATGTGTGTAGCTGGTATGTGTGTAGCTGGTATGTGTGTAGCTAGTATGTGTGGAGCTGCTATGTGTATAGCTAGTATGTGTGTAGCTGGTATGTGTGTAGCTAGTATGTGTGTAGCTGCTATGTGTGTAGCTGGTATGTGTGTAGCTAGTATGTGTGTAGCTAGTATGTGTGTAGCTGCTATGTGTGTAGCTGGTATGTGTGTAGCTGGTATGTGTGTAGCTGGTATGTGTGTAGCTGGTATGTGTGTAGCTAGTATGTGTGTAGCTGGTATGTGTGTAGCTGGTATGTGTGTAGCTGGTATGTGTGTAGCTGGTATATGTGTAACTGCTATGTGTGTAGCTAGTATGTGTGTAGCTGGTATGTGTGTAGCTAGTATGTGTGTAGCTATGTGTGTAGCTAGTATGTGTGTAGCTGGTATGTGTGTAGCTGGTATGTGTGTAGCTAGTATGTGTGTAGCTTGTATGTGTGTAGCTGGTATGTGTGTAGCTAGTATGTGTGTAGCTAGTATGTGTGTAGCTGCTATGCGTGTAGCTAGTATGTGTGTAGCTGGTATGTGTGTAGCTAGTATAAACCATACCCCGGGCCGGGATTGAACCCGCGGTCACAGAGGTGCCTGTGCTAAACTTCCTATGGTGTAGAAATATACCTAGTTGGATGAATCTTATTGTGCCTAGCAGGTCTAGTGGCTAACGCGACGGGATGGAGTTTTGAGACTCTATGACCGCGGGTTCAATCCCGGCCGGGGGTATGGTTTGTTTGCAATCGTGTCATTACGATTTCTTGAGTCGTGTAGCTAGTATGTGTGTAGCTGGTATGTGTGTAGCTGGTATGTGTGTAGCTGCTATGTGTGTAGCTAGTATGTGTGTAGCTGCTATGTGTGTAGCTGCTATGTGTGTAGCTGCTATGTGTGTAGCTGCTATGTGTGTAGCTGGTATGTGTGTAGCTGGTATGTGTGTAGCTAGTATGTGTGTAGCTGGTATGTGTGTAGCTAGTATGTGTGTAGCTGCTATGTGTGTAGCTGGTATGTGTGTAGCTAGTATGTGTGTAGCTGGTATGTGTGTAGCTGCTATGTTTGTAGCTAGTATGTGTGTAGCTAATATGTGTGTAGCTGCTATGTGTGTAGCTAGTATGTGTGTAGCTGGTATGTGTGTAGCTGCTATGTGTGTAGCTAGTATGTGTGTAGATGGTATGTGTGTAGCTAGAATGTGTGTAGCTGGTATGTGTGTAGCTGCTATGTGTGTAGCTAGTATGTGTGTAGCTGGTATGTGTGTAGCTGCTATGTGTGTAGCTAGTATGTGGGTAGCTGTTATTTGTGTAGCTGGTATGTGTGTAGTTGGTATGTGTGTAGCAGCTATGTGTGTAGCTGCTATGTGTGTAGCTGCTATGTGTGTAGCTAGTATGTGTGTAGCTGCTATGTGTGTAGCTAGTATGTGTGTAGCTGCTATGTGTGTAGCTGGTATGTGTGTAGCTGCTATGTGTGTAGCTGGTATGTGTGTAGCTGGTATGTGTGTAGCTAGTATGTGTGTAGCTGCTATGTGTGTAGCTGCTATGTGTGTAGCTGGTATGTGTGTAGCTGCTATGTGTGTAGCTGTTAAGTGTGTAGCTGTTATGTGTGTAGCTGTTATGTGTGTAGCTGATATGTGTGTAGCTGTTATGTGTGTAGCTGGTATGTGTGTAGCTGCTATGTGTGTAGCTGGTATGTGTGTAGCTGGAATGTGTGTAGCTAGCATGTGTGTAGCTGGTATGTGTGTAGCTGGTATGTGTGTAGCTAGTATGTGTGTAGCTGGTATGTGTGTAGCTAGTATGTGTGTAGCTAGTATGTGTGTAGCTAGTATGTGTGTAGCTAGTATGTGTGTAGCTGGTATGTGTGTAGCTGGTATGTGTGTAGCTAGTATGTGTGCAGCTGGTATGTGTGTAGCTGCTATGTGTGTAGCTGGTATGTGTGTAGCTGGTATGTGTGTAGCTGGTATGTGTGTAGCTGGTATGTGTGTAGCTAGTATGCGTGTAGCTGGTATGTGTGTAGCTAGTATGTGTGTAGCTGGTATGTGTGTAGCTGCTATGTGTGTAGCTAGTATGTGTGTAGCTAGTATGTGTGTAGCTAGTATGTGTGTAGCTGGTATGTGTGTAGCTGGTATGTGTGTAGCTGGTATGTGTGTAGCTGGTATGTGTGTAGCTGGTATGTGTGTAGCTGGTATGTGTGTAACTGCTATGTGTGTAGCTAGCATGTGTGTAGCTGGTATGTGTGTACCTAGTATGTGTGTAGCTGCTATGTGTGTAGCTAGTATGTGTGTAGCTGGTATGTGTGTAGCTGGTATGTGTGTAACTGGTATGTGTGTAGCTGGTATGTGTGTAGCTGGTATGTGTGCAGTTGGTATGTGTGTAGCTGGCAGGTGTGTAGCTAGTATGTGTGTAGCTAGTATGTGTGTAGCTGCTATGTGTGTAGCTGGTATGTGTGTAGCTAGTATGTGTGTAGCTGGTATGTGTGTAGCTAGTATGTGTGTAGCTGGTATGTGTGTAGCTAGTATGTGTGTAGCTGCTATGTGTGTAGCTAGTATGTGTGTGGCTGGTATGTGTGTAGCTGGTATGTGTGTAGCTGGTATGTGTGTAGCTGGGATGTGTGTAGCTGGTATGTGTGTAGCTAGTATGTGTGTAGC